AAAAAAAAAAAAAGGGATGAGAGAAAACTTGCATAAAAAGAGCCCACAACCATTAGGATATTTCAATTAAATACAATACTATTGCATATTTTTATAAGACTAGAATCATATAGTTCTCCCAATACAAGACATATACCTAATACTTGTTTCATATTGAGGAGTTCAAAAAGAAAAATTCTGAGCAAAAGGAAAAACAAAAGATAAACAACAAATCATGCAAACAAGAAATCTATAAAATTTAGGTGAGGAATTCTTGCAATTGCTAGAAAATGAAAAGAAATTACCTCGTTAGGGCGAGAATTGGAACCCTAGCTTCGATTGGAACCCTAATTGAGGCAGGACAAAAATCTCGAGAGTTGAGAGAGCGAACAAGATGAAGGCTCCGAATGGCAGAACAGGATGAGTGTACGGCTCAGGCGGGACAAGCCTACGAACGGCAGAACGGGATGAAGAGATAGGAGGTTACGAATGTGATGAAGGTCGAAGAAGGAGCTAACCCATTCTAAAATGAGGTGAAGTTGAGGATATTGAAGAAAATAATGAAATGGAGTAGGATTTGACATTTTATATAAGAGTTATTTGAGAAGCATTTAGAAATATAAGGACCAAAATTAAAATACTGAGTAGGGTAATTTGAGAAGAATTTAGAGAGATAAGGGCCAAAAGTAAAATACTAGTAGGTTGATTTGAGATGCATCTTGAAATATGAGGGGCAAAATTGTAACACCCCACCTTACTAGATAAATCAGAGTAGCGCATTTATTCGCAAAGTCTGTGAAAACTAAAACATTTTTACTTTGCGAAACTGATTTGGGGTGCTACCGTGAAAATCTTTACTTAACTTTAGAAAAAAAACCGTTGTTTTTAACTTATTAAAAACGTCCGGTTATTTAAAAACTTTATTTACTGAAAAGTTTATCAAAATATGCTAAAACCGTCAAAAGCATCAAACCATCGTCAAAAGATAGTCAAAAGTATGCGGAAGCGTAAATATTAGTTATACAGTCCAAAACATATATATTCAAATATCCTGAATGTCCCGAGCTGCTCTGTCATGTCACACCGCCGGCCCGACCTGCTGACCTGAAAAATAAGATAAGACTGGGGCGTGAGCACTAGGCACTGTGCTCCGTGGAAACTCATACTAATGTAAAACATCGTAAATAATAACAATATCATGAACTAAGCATATATATCTGATATGGGATATTATATACTAGACCGGTTCGGAGGGCACTCCAAACAGAGCAGCGTATGGGTCTGGTCGAGCAGTACCAACAGGTCCATAGAAACTCTAGCACCTGGTCGAGCAGGGACACCCCAGCAAGTACAAGCACAGACCAATCGTCTCTTGCCTCCAGAGCAGTTACACGTGAGGACACATGGACGGATCTGGTCGACAGATAGAATATGCTAAAGAATCTCCACATGGAAGGTGGACACGCGGCGGCGTGCGAATGGGCCAAAGGATAACGAACTCTGACATTCTCTGGCGCAGCTGACGCGTTTTCTGACACCGGAGAAAGTGGAGACGCGCGACCGTACGGACGAGTAAAGGATGGAAGGCGAGACTCGCCTAATCGCGCGTGGCCAACAGGTAACTCGTCCCTATAAATAGGGACGAGGATTATCGCTTTGGGATAACTTTCAATTTGCTTAAGATTTTGATATACACCTTTATCTCTCAAGATCTGACTTGAGCGTTGGAGGCTCTTCACCGGAAAATACCTCCGGTGTGAGAGTTTTCGTGCAGGTTCAGCGTTCGACCGGTGGAGGAAGTCGTGTTTGCTGTGGTTCTCGGTCGGGCGAGCGTTAGACTTGCATTATTGGCGCCGTCTGTGGGACTTCTGTTCAAAAGGCTGTGTTCTAAGCATTAACCATGGCGGACGGAATTCCCCGAATGAATTTGCAGTCGTCGTTCGACGAGGCATG